ATTCCTAATTTGATTTGGTTTTGGTTTAGAATTCCTAGTATGTTTATGATTTTAGGATTTCTATATATATGGAACAATTGGAAGAAAAAATTGGTGGAGAAGAAAAATTGGGGATATTTGGAGCACAGAAAAGAGGTATTTTCTGAGCTATTTGTTTAGGGTTTTGTTTGGAGAGATTAAGAGCTTGTTGGTGAGATTAGTTTGTTCCTTCGAGTGATTTGTAATCTCAGTTTGTACTCTTTCTCTATTAGTGAAAACCTCATCCTCTTCTTGCCCCGTGGACGTAGGCAATTGCCGAACCACGTAAAACTATTGTGTTTGGATTTGTGCCGTTGTTTTGATTTGTTTGACCTTTATCTCGACGTTTGTTTGATTTGGTTCTCGAAGCACGCCCGTTTGGTTGTCACGCTTCCGCGACGCGCACAACAAGGGACACCTGCATCAGCATGGCTGGATCGAGCTGGGTGCAGTTTGCTTGAGACATGTGTCAGTCAGTTGAATATTGATTAACACTTACTTATTTCTATGGCACAACATTAACCTATTAGGATTCAACCAGACCCGAAAACAACCAACAAGTTGACAGTACTGCAGTTGACTGGTTGGGCACCCGAGCCAATAATTAGTCCAGGGTACCTCTTGCAATATATGCATCCAAGAGGAGAATTCAATCATCGGTAGCGTCTGCCGATAGTGTTCCCAAGTGCCGAAACAGCCTGAGATGGCGTCTGAGCTATTCACAGTAGATTTGTTGCTCGTCCATTTGGCTTGTTGCCCCTCTGGCATGCAAATGGTAGAGTACAACTCCTCAATGAGATCGTAAACCTAATTCCAGCCATTTCTTCAACTCCTAGTCCAATATCCTACATACTATTGAGTGTATAATTAAGTACGGACACACCTGTAAACTGGATTGACTAAAGTCCTCTGCTCACGTTAGATGATTAGTCTCTTCTGTGCATGAATACAATCAACCTGTCAAATGAGTGGATTGAGAGGAAGAGCCTTATTAAGGTAAAACATTTTCCAGTAATATTTATTTATAAATAAACTAGTAACAATGCTCTCTTTCACAAATACTGAAGAAAAAAAAATAAGAATTAAAACAAACAAACCACTTGTAAAGAAGTAACAAGTTTTATAAATTTTCTCTTTTTAAAAGATTTGACTTTCTGAATACATCTCTTTAATTCATTTTTCTTTGAAAAATTCTCGAGGTCTAGCCATCACACCAAAACTCATTACGGTGAGAGTTGAGACTGAAAAATTTATGATGTAACATGTTCCTATAGATCGAGATCTTTTTTATGGCCCAAAGTGTTGACTCACGCAGTGGTATCAGTTTTTTTAAAAAATCTTCTTTAAACTTGTTGCTAGTGGGAATTGAACTTAAGATTCCTTTGATATCATAGTAAAAGTCTCTACCACTACAAAAACCCGAAATTAAAAAGTCTCTACTACTACAAAAACCTGAAATTAAAATTCGGTTCAGGACTTAAAACTCGAAGCCCAACTAACAATATAGTGTGTGAACCAAGCGTCACCTCCACAAACCCACCTTAAATTCCCTGTGACTATTACACCGCTCAGAAGTTTCGATGAGGGTTGTGGGTTATATTTCTATATTAATTCTAGCAGACCTAATTCAATTGTTTCATTCATGAACTTGTTAAATATTCGTCTCGTGCATATCTTCTGTACGAATACAACCAGCCTATAAGTTTAGCAGAGAGAGAGGCCTCTTTAAGGGGATGTTTGGTTCACTAGTTTTATAAAAACTTTTGGGAAAATGCTTGATAATGGAATTTTTGTAAATAAAACTTTTATGTAGACTTCTATATATAATCTGTGTTTGGTTTAAAAAAAATTATAGAAAAGTTTTTGATAAAGTACAGAAAAGAAAGGTGTTTTATAGAAACCAAACAATTCAAAATCGTAGAAGAGTTTTTAGTTTTTTTAAACAAAATACTTACCTTTAGATTTGATGCACCTGAAGAGTCACCAATATCTCTAACATTCTTAGTCATGTTTTTAAACTTGGCAAAATTTGTGTTCATGGCAAGTTGAGAATAATGAGGATTTGAAATCCGACAACAGAGCCACATAGGATTTTGATTTCTAGACATTTTTCATTCACAGCGTCTGGTTTGCTGGGTGATTTAAAGAAACGAGGGGGATGAAATGGGGTGCCACATCAGATTTTGTAGAAAACTCTTTTCAGACCAAAAGTGACTGAAATGAGTGAGAAATGTCACGTCACTGAATATTTAATTGTTCGATTCACTATTTCGAGGCGGCGGGAAGGAAAAGGGGGATATTTAATGTCCCGTCGCTGAATATTTAATTAGAAAACTCATTTGATTTTTGGATGTTCAAACGAACTTAAGAAATGTGAAACAACATTTTCCAGCCAATGATTTCAATGTGAAACAAACCAAATAAGTCAAATGGGGGAAACCCTCTGAGACGTACAGAAATGGTTTTCATCCAAGTTTTCTTTTTTCTTTTTTTTCCGGAAAGGTGCCAAACACACCCTTATAAGAAAATTAAAATTTTGGGTGTTTTCCTTTTCCTTTTTTTTTAAATAGAAATTGAACCAAACACCCACTAAAGCTACACCAACCAGGGAATACAAAATCACGTTCTTGCGTATGGAAATTTAATGCCTTGTTGGTGGGGGCGGTTCCAATTGTTGCGTTTAATTCAGAAGGGATTGATACTGCTATGGATATACGATGGGGTTTGTGTCTTCAGTACTACCTTGTTTTTGGGACAAGTCAAGAAACCACTTTTCCAATTTTATTAATGTCCCACAATATCTACGCGGCTCTGATTCGTTTGCAGTACTTAGGATCGTACCCGATGAAATGTATTTGTCTCCATTTTTTATTTTTTTTATTTTTTCTTCTTTTTAGGGCCTGTTTTATTTTGTTTTCCATAGAAGTGGAGAACCCTTTACCGATACAGAATATGTACATTTTTTTGGCCTTCTTGAGTTCCTTCTTGAGTTTTCTCATAAATGAGTATTTTCCGTTTGTTTCGCTTTTTTTTTTTTCATATGTGAAGGATCATTTTTTGAAAATCCAATGTTTGAATGAACTTTTAAATCTTAAGAAACCATCAGTTGTAGAAAAGGAGGGAAAGAAATGGCTTGGCAAAAAAGCTTTCGAAGTCATCAATGTGTATTATTTTTTTTAATGCATAAATTGCTGTTTTTCCTCCGTTTCCCTTCATTTTCAACCCAAAATGCTCTGAAATACAATTTCCATAAAATTAAGACAAAATTCCCAAATAAATAAATAAATAAATAAATAAAAAGAACGAGACATGGAGAAAACAATTCACGGAAGCACGAGAATTTAACAAACGTGCTGCGATTCTCTTACTAATCAATAAAGGTTATAGCCCGTTTCGAAAATCCTGATCTCACCTTCCTGTGTCAAGATACGTGTTCATATCACAGAGCTTTCTGTTTACTACGCTGAAATTATAAAAATACCCACACATGTGAACTGCTATTTTAATTTTCTTTTATGGGCACCGCTAAGAGTGCCTTTCCCATACTCTTGTTGTTACTATTTAAACTCGTCACTCTTTGATCATTTCAACGCGAGAGTTGTTTGAATATTTTTTTCAAATCTCACATGAGCTGCTGCAGTAGCCTATATTTTCTTTATTTTTTCAAAGGTGATGGGCCCCACCGAAGAAAATTTGGATGTGGGGCTCACATGTATAGTAAAATATTATTATTTTATTAATGCATAATATTTTTTCAAATATTATAAATAGTTCTCAAATCCTTAAGGAAAATTCATTCCAAAAACAACAATCAATATATACAGATATATATGTTGTAGAATAGCTAGTGCTCGTAGGAACAATCATGTGTTTGGTTTGCAAAAAATAAAAAGGAAAGTGAAGAAAAGTGAAGGAAAGTGAGAGATTCTTTCTCCCAAAAAATTTCAGCTCAAAAAGCCCGATTACGGGGAAATAGTACTTTCTGCATACAATATTATTATTATTATTATTATTATTATATTATTGTATTTTTGTTGTTGTTATTATTATTATTATTATTATTATTATTATTATTATTGTTATTATATATTTTTTTTATTTGAACCAAACATTAAAAAATGAGAGAATTTATTCATACATCAATTGTTTTCTTCTTTTTTCAAATTAAACAAAACTAAGAAAAGTGGTGGAAAGTACTTTCAGCCCATATTTTTTGGAGAAACAAACACAAAAAACACTTTCCATGAAAGTGAAGGAAACACAAAAAAAATGAAGGAAAATGGATTTTAAAAAATGAAGGAAACGAACCAAACAGTCCCCCCTAAGAGTAAAGGAACACACAAAAACAAACCTTTTATTGTAATAATAGCTTGATATATCGAGAGGTGAACAAGAGAAACACCACGATACGCTCACCGTCCCAAATGACACGTTGACCGGTCCACAACCAAAACCATGTTGATTGGCCCGCCATAAAGGTTAGTAGGTTGAGTTCATGAAGACCGTACTTGCCAGAATGATCCAATATAAATCCTCTTAGCTATATCTATTAAATGACAATTGATTTTGATTGTGAAAGTGATTTTCTGCAGCGGCCATCATCTCTGCTAGCCCATAACATATATTAAATTTAAAGGTTATTCAAAGAGTTGTTGTGGCTGGCATCAGAGGTTCTACCAGTACAGTTCATTTATTTAGTCCCCTGCTCTGAAGATGACTCTCTCGAGGCCAGTAGTACTCGGACGGAGAGGAAACCAACGACGAATATTAATATTAAACTACTAAACACTCATACGTAGCCATCCCAAAAATTGATCGTAACCTTCTTCACTTCATCCTTGTTTTAGATTAAATGTAGATAAAGCATAACCCAGATACTAAATGTCTCCTAATCACAAAGATTTCTTGCCGGTGGTCATCAACGGAGAATTTCTACACTAGGGGCGGGGAAATCAATAGTGGGTTCTCTAATAAAAAAGAGGTTGATAGCAAATTAAAAGCATATACGCATGTAGGCATGGTAAGTTAAATGAAGTTGGAGAAACATTTCCAGATCCACAAATGGCATTATTGGAAGCACCGCGTGCTCAATAGCGACGACAGGAGTTTCGGGTTCCAAATCAAGAGACATGAATACAAACCAAAAAGATCATGCTATAACAAACCGCGGATTTGAACAATTACAGCGGCCCTGGAAAATTACCGTTCTCCCTCTGTTCGTTCCACCTATCAACCTGGATTCATTAGAAGAAAGAATGGTAAATGACACTAACAAAAGTTTGAGTGGACATTTTCAGTAATAAAGCTAAATAGGTTAGAATCAAGGAAAAAAAAAGAACAATTAGACGTTTATTCGCATTAGAATCATAAACCACGAACTTAATGGTAGAAGGAAAAGAGGCAAAGAATCAAGAGAAATGGGTCTTACTCATCCTTTCAGCTGTTTTATTCAACCAATATTAGTAGGATACTTGTGAATGTGAGCAATATTACAGGCTCTCATGTAGGGGAACTCATATCTTATCATTAATCATCAGAAAAAAGAATGAGATTTTGCTACAAAAATGATAGTCAGACACAGCTACAATAAGATAAGATTTAAGTCATGTGATGAATTTTCGACCTAGTATCTATGAAGGTAAGGGAACAAGTTTCTCATCAGAACTAAAAAAAATGGGCGTTTGTTATAGAAGTATTCATCAAACTAGTAAGAAAGTGCTGTGTTCACTTTGCAGCGGAACTGTTTTCTAATCTGAACATCACTGCATTGGTACCAATATAGAAACAAAAGAATAAATTGAGTTTCGAGATATGAACAAAAGGATCCACGTAAAAATATGAATTAGCTAGAATCCTGAACACAAACTTCTTCTTATCGCAACTTCCACAATTATAATAAAATGAGATTGCACAAAAACATGTTACGTCAGAGTCCATCACAAAGAATGCATAAATCTGACATATGACTGAAACCCAACACAAATTCACAAGTGAAAAAAGACTAAAAAGTATAAATCAAGTCGGACTGGAATGAAATCTGGAGGGACCCCAAGCTAATCTTCAATTACATAAATCCTGGGTATTAAAAACTAGAAATGACATAAACCTACTAAAATAAATAAATGGCCTGTTTATCCATTAAACCACAAAAGCTCGATTCGGTCCTTATACTAGACCTGGAAGACCTGACGCTAATGAATTTGAACTCGACTTAAGGCATCAATTCCTTTCTATCACATATGATCTGAATGAGCACAGCCAAGTGACCACATTAAAGCAAATAATACGGAAGGAAAATGGAAGTGACTCTCTCCTAATCCCATCCTATCTGGTCGTAGGTAAATGAATCAACTAATCTACAAATAATTCCTTACCTGTTCATCTAACTATTCAATTTGATAGTGCATTTCATAGTAAATAAATACTTTTAGTATTTGGTTTATAAATGAGTAGAATTTAATCAAATGTATATAGTTGATTGTTTACAAATATTCGTTTACAATGTGATCAGTTATTAATTGTATTATCACACATAATGTTATGTGTTTGACTTACTTATACTTACTGCTTGAGCTCTACAATAATTTAGACTTCACAAGTCCCAAATTAGTCTTTTAACTGTATACTCAAATTGATTTAAACATCATTATTATAAGGGACTAATTTTCACTTACAAATTTAATGATATAGAAAAATCAATTTCTTAAGGAAAAAAAGAATATTTATAAAGTATCTTCTTAAGTAAGTATCTTTTAATCAAACAAAGTATCTTCTTAATTAAGTAGTTTAATATTAATAAGCTACAAATTATTAATCAAATAAATATATTAATATTTGATAAATATTCATGAATATTCAAAATATATATATGCTCAAATTCAAATTCAAAGAAATTCAGGGAAGCATACTCGAATAAATGAACACAAATACAAACATTGCAGTATTCTGTTTTTGATTGGATTTGTTAGTAGGCCTACTTATTATATCCTCTTAGTCCTTGTCTCCCCTCCAAATGGCACCAAATACCATGCTTGCTGACTTATAAAATGATATATATCTGCCTAAACATGACAAATAAATATTATGAATTATTTTGTCTCAAATTAAGGGGTTGTGGCTTGCTGCAAAAAGAAATTTAGCAAGTGTTGCAGTAATTCCCAGTTCCAAAATGTAAAGGGGTTGTGGCTTACATTAAGTGGGCCTACTTACTGCATGCAACATTTGTTGTAGGAAATCAACTTCAAATCCATTGCTTGGATATAAATGTGGTTTTTCCAATATTAAGTCCATGTGGTTGAGAAATAACTGGTGCAAGAGCTACATGATTCGTATAGTTGGAGACAGTTCTATTTACATTGAATTGAAAAACTATTTTGTCGATGAGTTGAATTTTACTTTTTATGTTTACTTTCCTTTTAGAAAAACTGCAACTTTTGCTCCCACCAAATTGGCTACGACACTTGTTGAAATTTTACCAGTAAATTGTAAGCTTACTTACCTTTTCTAACTACATGTCGCTAAATAAACAACAGAAATATAAATTTGATTGCAGTATTTACTTTTGCAACTCTATTTCAAATAACAGCTAAAACATAAAAGGAACTAGTACAACAACGCCAAGCGATTCTGGATAAATACATCTCACTATACACAGTATTGTAAAAATATATATGGATAAGTAACAAAACCTCTCAGGCCACTTTGAATAAGCAGGACCAAGACAAATCTATGCATTAGATGCCACCCTAAGTGATGAGACCCTTGTGGCCTTTTTTAACACGAAATTTGTATGCGTTTCTTTCATAAGACTTTCCTTTATTATAGTTTTCCTTTCTTATTAGAGTTTTCATTTTGTATCACCTTTTATATATCCCAATATACTTTTATATCTAAAGGGTATTACTTCTTCAATTAATGAAGAGCAAGAGATTTCTTTTTGTAGTGCTGTAAATATTAGCCAAAACCCCAGTCTGATTTTCAAATATAACATCTGATTCAAAATTGAAATTATGACTGAAACCATATCCTGGCTGGATTCAGATTTAGATTATTAAATTAAATTGAATTTGGGTCGAATGAACATTTAGATCCGAGTACTCGCTTAAATTTATTAAGAATAGATGACACTTAGATGGAAATGGTCTGATCAGTAACCAGAATCAGAATTTGACCTGATTTCTTTTTGAGGTTAGGATCGGATTCGGCTAAGATATTCGTTTTACACGGATTCATATTCAAGTCTTGCATAGATCTGAACTGAATCTGATCCCTTTACAGCCCCATCTGCGATTGAATTGATTCCTTTTGAATCAACAATGATGGTACAGCATCATGATCACAATTTTGGATGGTGGATAAGAACATTCAATATTCACTTTGCTTGCTATCATAATTAGTAATACTTTCTTCTATTAGACTATTAAAGCTATGTCAAAGCAGGATCCACAATTCCTTAGATAATCAATAACCTACAAAATACTTTCCTGAAGTTATACGTTCTGGTAAGTGTCATATGTTCAAATATGAGTCCAACAAGGTAACCTACGAAAACAGAACATGAAACTCCATTATATTTATGAGTTGTAACTCAAATGTCTATGTCTATGTCTGTACTGAAAATCATCATTGATGAATCCATAGTTTAATAAAATTGATTTATATCTTTGAGATGATGGAAACTTGCAATGTTTGTCTAAACCACAAAAAACTGAAGCTGAAGGATGACATGATCCTGATATGATGATTCCTCAAGTGAACATGGAGTGTCCAAATGTCCTCAAAATGTCCAAGCATCAATATGTGGTGTAAATATAAATTGCAATGTCTGGACAATACCTGTTAAAACTAAGACATAATCAACATTGAATCCCAATGAAATACTTCCAAACCAACTAAGCACCTCAACCAGCAGAGACCACAAACCAACAACCTTATACACTAAATACGAGGTTCTATCAAATACATAAAGAATGGTTCGATAAGATGAACGGGAAATATTACCTACCTGAGAAAAACACAAAAATGTACTAAACAAAATCAGAACAATGAATTTAGGGGCTCACCCATTCCCCAGGACAGAGGGATCGATAGTATTTGGCAAACTTCTCGCATTCACCAGAATCATCTCCTTTGGCAGACAAACACCTGCATTTACAGCAGATAAATTCAGCAATTCAAGTTGCAAAGAAAAGAAGATAGTCTTCTTTTTTTAGATAGATAAAGAGAGAGAGGAGATCCTGGGATGAAAAAGAGAATGTAGTAGTCTCCTATTCTCCACATCCTAACTATAAAACCACAAAATGGTTATATCTGCAATGGGTTATACTTGTGATATTCGATGTAGCGAGTGAAACAGTGCCTTGTCTGATTTGTTGTAGGGAAGCGAAAATCAGCTGGTGCTGTTTTGAGCTCGATCTGCTAAACATAAAGACAGCAATATAAAATGTTAGCGTGATAACTAGGAAAAATAAACTATTAAATCTATAAAAAGATAGAATAAGGACTACCAAAAACCATTGTTTTAAATATCGGCCGATAATCGATATTATCGGCCGAGTTATCGGATTTTTGAGCTCTCTGCTAGGATAAGTTGGTTTTGTAATCGGTTATCGTTTTGGGGAGATTATCGACAAGTTATCGGCGTTATCGGCACTTATCGGCCGATAAGTAAGGCTAAATTATCGGGATTATCGGCCAGACATTTTGAGTTGAGTTGTTGAGTTTTAAAACCCGACCCGACCCGTTTTGTTAATAATATGAAACTTAAAACCCGAAACTTTGTGAATCTGACCTTCAAACCCTAACTTCGTCTCTAGCGGCTGCTCATTTTCTCGTAGGGCGCTTCCTCCGTTATCTCCATCTCATGTTCTCTGCGCCTCTTCATCGCTCGCCTTCTTGAACTTCAACCTTAAACTTCGTCGCTCGCCTACCCTCTGTCAACCATGTTTTTTTTGTCCAGAAACATGGCTATATATACATGCTGTGAGCTTTCCTTCTCTTGTAATTCCTTCACGCACGCACTTTCTCTTTTGAGTAATATCAGTTATATAACTATTCTTTTATCATACTTTGTTTTTCTGTTTTTCCTGTAACAGAGACTTATATAAGAAATTAGTGAATAAATTGTACATACTTTGCTTTTCTGTTTTAGTGTGTTTATATTTCATTAAGCATGATTAGATTACATTTTTTAGTTGTTATATTATATATATACACCATCCAATATCCGATATATCCCCGATTTCCACTATCCGATATATCCCCGATTTCCACTATCCGATAAGGATTTTGGCCGTCCGATAAATCCCCGATAACCGATATTTAAAACCTTGCCAAAAACCCAAACAATGATATCTCTAGCACGATGTATAAAAGAATAATTCAGTCGGTGATTTACAGGCCAGCTGCAAGAAAGCACAATATTGATCCTGGTCAATGTCCTGTCCAGTGTCTATATACCAAGTGTACTCCTGTGAAGTATAAATCGCAAAAGAGCACATCCATCCTAGCTGGTCCGTGAAATGGATTACTTAAATCCATAGGAATTTGGTTGAATATCCAGGACTACACCCAAAAAGGGCAGACGTGACGCAAAATACAAAGAGAGAAAAGAGATGAAGATTGAACCAGTTATCATCTTTCTA